GTCCGGGTGCTCTCGTAAAGTTGGGGCTCCGTGTCCGTAATGCGCTGCTTCCGTGCGACGGAGGCGGACTTGGCTCCAGTGCACGGCGGCCGCACGGGCCATGATACGACGCGGGGAGACGGGACGGCCCTAAACCATGTCGAGGATAAGTACGGGCGCGGTCGCGACGCGGGCGTGCTCACCTTGCCCCATCCCTCGTCCCATCCCTCGTACCCATACCTCCTGTCTGTGCCCGCGAAGGGTTGCACGATGTTCGCGACGTCCATGCAAGAGGTATGTCAGCTGTGCATATGATTGCGAGAATCCTGAACTCACCGTTCGGTCTGCAGACCTCCGTGAGCCGCCGTGCGCAAGCGTCAAACACGCCGCCGAACAGCGAAACTTGTATTGCAGGGGCAGGATCATCGAGGCGCGTGATTTCCGCGGTGAGTGCTCATTGCACGGCATCGTCGTATCGTTGCAGACGGGATACAGCGGCCATGTCCGCGCTATCGCCTTCCCCGGGCCGCCCAGACCAAACACCGTTCGTCGTGGACGTGTGCGCCTGCTGCCGCAAACCCGCGGTGCAGGTGGCCACGAGCGATGAGGTACGTCGCGCGGTCGACACCGTGCTGGCGCGCTCAATTCTGTAGCAGTAGCACGCGTGATCGCGCCGCGAATACGAGCACATCGCGCGGCGCCGAGGCGTGCCCTCGCATCCGCGTCGCGTCGACCGTGTGCCATACGACCACTCAAAGCCTCGAGCGCGAAGGCCCTTCGCATCCGCGTCCTCTGCCGCTGGGAACCATCGTGAGCGGGTGCTTCATCTACGAATGCGCGCAGGCCACTCACAACGACAGTCCAGCTGCTCTGTTTGCCGCCGCCACTCACCCCGCACGACATACGAAGCCCGATGTGGGCGACCTCGAACCTGCTATTCACCACGGTCAGTACTGCGCTCTAACGTTCATCCACGCGGGAGCACTGACCTCGAGCACAGCCGTCGCGGGCAACACCGCCGTCCTCGCCACCCACGAGCACACCACGGTCGAAGAGATGGGCTACGCAGGCACCGTCTGGGGCGCCAGGACGGTGTCGCGGAGGGGACTCTAACGGCGTATATTGTAATTCTACATAGATACTGCGCGGGGCGACGTCTGCCCGCACCCTGACACGGCGTCTCCAGATCTCCGCGGCGGCGGCGGCGCTGGGGCGGGGCGGCGTCGTCCAGGCTCTCGAGCGGTCGTCCCGTGCGTCTAGAGGCGAGGGCGCCGCGGCGGGCACGGTGCTCCAGGCGGCCGCTTCGGCTCCGCGCCGGGGAACTTCCAGCACGGGCCCCGAGGACGAGCTCCCGCTACGTAGCCTCGGCGCAGGTAACATGTACGGGCGCCGTCGCAGCAGGAGGTAACGCCGCAAGTCCTACGGGTCGGTCACACCCGCCGCGCCGAACCCGTCCGTCTTCATTCTGGCCCGCCCCATGAAACGGCCGACAGCGCCGCAAATTTCTTGTGTGCGTATCGCCGCGAGACTTGGAGGGTGGGCGCGCCCCGGTGCGAGCAGCCTGTCGTCGCGTCCACGACGGCGCCCGGGGCGGCGTTCGCGCGTACTGCCAGATCTGGGGGCCTCGCGGGGTCTCCGACGCGTCCACGCGCCGACACGCCTCGTTTGCGGGCGTCCTGGCGGTACCGCACGGTGGCAGATGCCACGGAGAGCCCGCGTGCCAAGGCGCGCGGCAGTAGGACGCGAGGGCAAGGTGCGGCGGGCATGTTTCAAAGCGCTCGCCCACGGAGCCGCCGAGTTGTCGCAAATTTTTTTGTGCTCGGATCGAGCCCAAATTCGGGGGGCAGCTGCGACCCGGTGCGACGTGCCCGCCGTCGAGTTCACGAAGGTATCCGCCGCGGCGTTCGCGCGCGATTCGACATTTTGTCGCGCGGCCGGCGGCAACCGATCGCACCGGGCGAGCCACACCCGCGGGGCGCGAGCCGTGATACCCGGGGACGCTTCCAAATACCCACAGAGGTGTTCGTGCCAGACGGCGCGGGCGGAGGACGCGTGGCTGGAGCGGGGCGGGGGAGACGTCTTCGAAAATGACCATAAAATCGCCAAAAATCGGCCGTTCTCTGACTCCTCGTATCGCGCTGAAATCGGGTGGATGTGTGCGTCTGTGTGCGTGGGAGCCGCCGTCGAATCGGCAAGGGCGTCCGATGCGGCGTTCGGGCGCGAGATGAGATCTGGCGGCTGCGAGGGGCGGTCGACAGAGTGGTGTGTGACGCGAGGGACGCGCGTGGCGCCTACAAGCACAGGCGGGCAGGCTCGGAGGAGCGTGACGTACGCTTTCCAGACCTCCAGACTGTCAGCCGCGGCCGGCGGGGTGCGCGCGAACATGGCTCCGTCCTCGGTCGCGTACGGCCGCCTGGCGCCGTTGCGCGCCGCGAGTGTCTTGGTGCACAACCCGGCGGCTTCTTGAGGGCGCGTGGAGTGTTTGTAGATGTCGATCTGGGAGCTGGCGGCGGAAATATGCGATTTTCCGTGATCGAGCGACCTGGAAACCGGACGTGGTGAGCGCAGTTCGCATGGGAATGAGCTGGGAACATACCCGACGCGAGCCCAGTGCTACAGACGCCGCTTGAAGTAGTCTGCTCGTGTGCGCATGCCGAGGGGAGCGCGATAGGATGGCGGAAGATGGCCTGAGGGCCGCCCCCATGCCGGCGACGTGCGCGGCGAAGGACGATGACGGCACTCGCGCGCGTGTGATGGCGGCATTTAGCGGGCGTCTTGAATGTGCGTTGAGAGTCTGAATGGGGGGCGTGGAGGTCTGTGCGCTGGGCGTGGATGTCTTTGGGACGATCGCGGGCAGCGGCGGCTTGTCTAACCACTCCGCTGTGCTGCGTACACCCCCTTCGGAGATTGCATACAGAGCGTGCCTTGAGCTTGTACGAGTCACCTAGCTCGCACTGAGCGTGGGCGCGCGGGAATTCGAGTTTTGAAGTGCGGGCGTCCCTATAAACAGACACAATGAGCGCAAATCGCGAGCGGGGGGGCTGAAATCGCACCTGATGCGAGTTAAGTGTGTACTATACCGTGCTGTACCATTCGCCCGTGGATGCTTCGCGTATTGCATTGCAGAGAGCAGCAGTAACACTCGCAGCGCATGCGCGCGTTCCCGGCGAAGGCCGCGCGCGGCATGTTGGTACTTGCACAGGCGTATGCGTGGCAGATACAGCTATCGACACCTTTGTGCCCGAGAAGGGGCGTCGCGGATAAGACCGTGCAGAACCAGACCTCTGGCAGCGGAGGTACGCGTACAGGGAGCGGGGATCGTGTCCTGCTGGCCGTTCTTCTCGCGAGCGACGTAGGAGTGCATCGCCGGGCCGATTATGACGATCAGCTGGCGCTTCTCACGCGACGGGCCTCCTGCACCCGAGCATTTAGGTGAGTGAGGGCAGCCGGCTGGAGCGCGGACGCGGGACGTACTAATAGCGTGGACTATCTAGAACGACGAAGCGTTCATGGCCCTGGTATGATGCCAAAAGGCAGCGCGGAGGGGCAGCGAGAACGGCATGGGGAATGTCGGCACATCGAGGGCAGGGGCGGGCAGCGCACCAAAGACAGGCAGAAGGCGGGCACAGAGACAGGCGAAGGCGTGTTTAGCGAAGGAGAGCGATGTAGCGATCTGGTGCGAGATCTAGCAAGTAGGCGCTCGCACGAACGCGAGCCCCCGCCAAAAGATGTCCTGAGCAGTGGACGAGGGCGAGGAAGCGAGGAGGGGCCGGGGCAGGAGCTTCTTGGTCGGGCTGGG